ACGTGTAACTACCCTGTCTAACCTGCTGTTAGTTGCAGGAAACAACTAGTTCAGCCACGTGTAACTACCCTGTCTAACCTGTGGTTAGTTGCAGGAAACAACTAGTTCAGCCACGTGTAACTACCCTGTCTAACCTGCTGTTAGTTGCAGGAAACAACTAGTTCAGTCACGTGTAACTACCCTGTCTAACCTGTGGTTAGTTGCAGGAAACAACTAGTTCAGCCACGTGTAACTACCCTGTCTAACCTGCTGTTAGTTGCAGGAAACAACTAGTTCAGCCACGTGTAACTACCCTGTCTAACCTGCTGTTAGTTGCAGGAAACAACTAGTTCAGCCACGTGTAACTACCCTGTCTAACCTGTGGTTAGTTGCAGGAAACAACTAGTTCAGCCACGTGTAACTACCCTGTCTAACCTGTGGTTAGTTGCAGGAAACAACTAGTTCAGTGTAACTACCCTGTCTAACCTGCTGATAGTTGCAGGAAACTACTAGTTCAGCCACGTGTAACTACCCTGTCTAACCTGCTGTTAGTTGCAGGAAACAACTAGTTCAGTCACGTGTAACTACCCTGTCTAACCTGCTGTTAGTTGCAGGAAACAACTAGTTCAGCCACGTGTAACTACCCTGTCTAACCTGTGGTTAGTTGCAGGAAACAACTAGTTCAGCCACGTGTAACTACCCTGTCTAACCTGCTGTTAGTTGCAGGAAACAACTAGTTCAGCCACGTGTAACTACCCTGTCTAACCTGTGGTTAGTTGCAGGAAACAACTAGTTCAGCCACGTGTAACTACCCTGTCTAACCTGCTGTTAGTTGCAGGAAACAACTAGTTCAGCCACGTGTAACTACCCTGTCTAACCTGTGGTTAGTTGCAGGAAACAACTAGTTCAGCCACGTGTAACTACCCTGTCTAACCTGCTGATAGTTGCAGGAAACAACTAGTTCAGCCACGTGTAACTACCCTGTCTAACCTGTGGTTAGTTGCAGGAAACAACTAGTTCAGCCACGTGTAACTACCCTGTCTAACCTGCTGTTAGTTGCAGGAAACAACTAGTTCAGCCACGTGTAACTACCCTGTCTAACCTGCTGTTAGTTGCAGGAAACAACTAGTTCAGCCACGTGTAACTACCCTGTCTAACCTGTGGTTAGTTGCAGGAAACAACTAGTTCAGCCACGTGTAACTACCCTGTCTAACCTGTGGTTAGTTGCAGGAAACAACTAGTTCAGCCACGTGTAACTACCCTGTCTAACCTGCTGATAGTTGCAGGAAACAACTAGTTCAGCCACGTGTAACTACCCTGTCTAACCTGCTGTTAGTTGCAGGAAACAACTAGTTCAGCCACGTGTAACTACCCTGTCTAACCTGCTGTTAGTTGCAGGAAACAACTAGTTCAGCCACGTGTAACTACCCTGTCTAACCTGCTGTTAGTTGCAGGAAACAACTAGTTCAGCCACGTGTAACTACCCTGTCTAACCTGTGTTAGTTGCAGGAAACAACTAGTTCAGCCACGTGTAACTACCCTGTCTAACCTGCTGATAGTTGCAGGAAACAACTAGTTCAGCCACGTGTAACTACCCTGTCTAACCTGCTGTTAGTTGCAGGAAACAACTAGTTCAGCCACGTGTAACTACCCTGTCTAACCTGTGGTTAGTTGCAGGAAACAACTAGTTCAGCCACGTGTAACTACCCTGTCTAACCTGCTGATAGTTGCAGGAAACAACTAGTTCAGCCACGTGTAACTAACCTGTCTAACCTGCTGTTAGTTGCAGGAAACAACTAGTTCAGCCACGTGTAACTACCCTGTCTAACCTGTGGTTAGTTGCAGGAAACAACTAGTTCAGCCACGTGTAACTACCCTGTCTAACCTGCTGTTAGTTGCAGGAAACAACTAGTTCAGCCACGTGTAACTACCCTGTCTAACCTGCTGTTAGTTGCAGGAAACAACTAGTTCAGTCACGTGTAACTACCCTGTCTAACCTGCTGTTAGTTGCAGGAAACAACTAGTTCAGCCACGTGTAACTACCCTGTCTAACCTGCTGTTAGTTGCAGGAAACAACTAGTTCAGCCACGTGTAACTACCCTGTCTAACCTGCTGATAGTTGCAGGAAACAACTAGTTCAGCCACGTGTAACTACCCTGTCTAACCTGCTGATAGTTGCAGGAAACAACTAGTTCAGCCACGTGTAACTACCCTGTCTAACCTGCTGATAGTTGCAGGAAACAACTAGTTCAGCCACGTGTAACTACCCTGTCTAACCTGCTGATAGTTGCAGGAAACAACTAGTTCAGCCACGTGTAACTACCCTGTCTAACCTGCTGATAGTTGCAGGAAACAACTAGTTCAGCCACGTGTAACTACCCTGTCTAACCTGCTGATAGTTGCAGGAAACAACTAGTTCAGCCACGTGTAACTACCCTGTCTAACCTGTGGTTAGTTGCAGGAAACAACTAGTTCAGCCACGTGTAACTACCCTGTCTAACCTGTGGTTAGTTGCAGGAAACAACTAGTTCAGCCACGTGTAACTACCCTGTCTAACCTGCTGTTAGTTGCAGGAAACAACTAGTTCAGCCACGTGTAACTACCCTGTCTAACCTGTGGTTAGTTGCAGGAAACAACTAGTTCAGCCACGTGTAACTACCCTGTCTAACCTGTGGTTAGTTGCAGGAAACAACTAGTTCAGCCACGTGTAACTACCCTGTCTAACCTGTGGTTAGTTGCAGGAAACAACTAGTTCAGCCACGTGTAACTACCCTGTCTAACCTGTGGTTAGTTGCAGGAAACAACTAGTTCAGCCACGTGTAACTACCCTGTCTAACCTGTGGTTAGTTGCAGGAAACAACTAGTTCAGCCACGTGTAACTACCCTGTCTAACCTGTGGTTAGTTGCAGGAAACAACTAGTTCAGTCACGTGTAACTACCCTGTCTAACCTGTGGTTAGTTGCAGGAAACAACTAGTTCAGTCACGTGTAACTACCCTGTCTAACCTGCTGATAGTTGCAGGAAACAACTAGTTCAGCCACGTGTAACTACCCTGTCTAACCTGTGGTTAGTTGCAGGAAACAACTAGTTCAGCCACGTGTAACTACCCTGTCTAACCTGCTGTTAGTTGCAGGAAACAACTAGTTCAGCCACGTGTAACTACCCTGTCTAACCTGTGGTTAGTTGCAGGAAACAACTAGTTCAGCCACGTGTAACTACCCTGTCTAACCTGTGGTTAGTTGCAGGAAACAACTAGTTCAGCCACGTGTAACTACCCTGTCTAACCTGCTGTTAGTTGCAGGAAACAACTAGTTCAGCCACGTGTAACTACCCTGTCTAACCTGCTGTTAGTTGCAGGAAACAACTAGTTCAGCCACGTGTAACTACCCTGTCTAACCTGCTGTTAGTTGCAGGAAACAACTAGTTCAGCCACGTGTAACTACCCTGTCTAACCTGCTGATAGTTGCAGGAAACAACTAGTTCAGCCACGTGTAACTACCCTGTCTAACCTGCTGTTAGTTGCAGGAAACAACTAGTTCAGCCACGTGTAACTACCCTGTCTAACCTGTGGTTAGTTGCAGGAAACAACTAGTTCAGCCACGTGTAACTACCCTGTCTAACCTGTGGTTAGTTGCAGGAAACAACTAGTTCAGCCACGTGTAACTACCCTGTCTAACCTGCTGTTAGTTGCAGGAAACAACTAGTTCAGCCACGTGTAACTACCCTGTCTAACCTGCTGATAGTAGCAGGAAACAACTAGTTCAGCCACGTGTAACTACCCTGTCTAACCTGCTGTTAGTTGCAGGAAACAACTAGTTCAGCCACGTGTAACTACCCTGTCTAACCTGTGGTTAGTTGCAGGAAACAACTAGTTCAGCCACGTGTAACTACCCTGTCTAACCTGCTGTTAGTTGCAGGAAACAACTAGTTCAGCCACGTGTAACTACCCTGTCTAACCTGCTGTTAGTTGCAGGAAACAACTAGTTCAGTCACGTGTAACTACCCTGTCTAACCTGCTGATAGTTGCAGGAAACAACTAGTTCAATCACGTGTAACTACCCTGTCTAACCTGTGGTTAGTTGCAGGAAACAACTAGTTCAGCCACGTGTAACTACCCTGTCTAACCTGTGGTTAGTTGCAGGAAACAACTAGTTCAGCCACGTGTAACTACCCTGTCTAACCTGCTGTTAGTTTCAGGAAACAACTAGTTCAGCCACGTGTAACTACCCTGTCTAACCTGTTGTTAGTTGCAGGAAACAACTAGTTCAGCCACGTGTAACTACCCTGTCTAACCTGCTGTTAGTTGCAGGAAACAACTAGTTCAGTCACGTGTAACTACCCTGTCTAACCTGCTGTTAGTTGCAGGAAACAACTAGTTCAGCCACGTGTAACTACCCTGTCTAACCTGTGGTTAGTTGCAGGAATCAACTAGTTCAGCCACGTGTAACTACCCTGTCTAACCTGCTGTTAGTTGCAGGAAACAACTAGTTCAGCCACGTGTAACTACCCTGTCTAACCTGTTGTTAGTTGCAGGAAACAACTAGTTCAGCCACGTGTAACTACCCTGTCTAACCTGCTGTTAGTTGCAGGAAACAACTAGTTCAGCCACGTGTAACTACCCTGTCTAACCTGTGGTTAGTTGCAGGAAACAACTAGTTCAGCCACGTGTAACTACCCTGTCTAACCTGTTGTTAGTTGCAGGAAACAACTAGTTCAGCCACGTGTAACTACCCTGTCTAACCTGCTGATAGTTGCAGGAAACAACTAGTTCAGCCACGTGTAACTACCCTGTCTAACCTGCTGTTAGTTGCAGGAAACAACTAGTTCAGCCACGTGTAACTACCCTGTCTAACCTGTGGTTAGTTGCAGGAAACAACTAGTTCAGCCACGTGTAACTACCCTGTCTAACCTGCTGTTAGTTGCAGGAAACAACTAGTTCAGTCACGTGTAACTACCCTGTCTAACCTGTGGTTAGTTGCAGGAAACAACTAGTTCAGTCACGTGTAACTACCCTGTCTAACCTGCTGTATGTCAAACGAGAGAGAAAGCCACGAGCTGGAGTGTTGAGGAGATCTGTAAACTGGAGCATTATATTCTCCTCCGTTCTCCTCCTCGTCTGAGTCTGATTCTAAACACAAGGAAAGTTTTAAACACGGGAAATTTAATGAAAAAGGGACAACAGTGTTTAATAGTGTAATCCAGGAAACTTGGTTAACTGACGGTCCCAGACACACCAAACTGACACTCGGCCACAAGCACGCCAACTTCATCAAAAACCTCAACACTACACACAGCAACAACAGACAAGATTACAGAACTGCAGTTCACCTCATCACGGATCACTGCGGCTTAAACAAACACCTTCACACCATTTGCAAATCAAACACCAGTGCTTGTCCTATGTGCGGCGACGGAGAGGAAACTGTCTCACACTTCCTTGGATAATGTCCGGACTTTTGCCCAAATTAGAGGTCAATATTTCCAGGACTACTACCTCTCTGTCAATGACATATTCGACAACCAACACATCACCACGATTGTCAATTTCGCAAACCGCACCAAACGCTTAAATGCGCCGGAAGAGCTGGGTCAGACCGGGGTGACTTAAGGTATTATCTCATATGCTGTCTCGTCTCGTTTTAATTTTCCAAACCCAGCACCCAAATCCTCCACCATTCACTCTGATTTCACCGGCAACCTTTCCCAGAGTTGCCACACCCCCGAGGTAGGCAGAGCATCTCAATGCTATCCTCTCGTGGGCTATCTTGGCCCAGTCTCTCTTTAAAAAAAATAGAAAAAAAAGAAGTGTAATCCTGTTTGGAAGCGAGGTAAGTAAATAATTAACATTTATAAATTTATTTATTATTATTTATTTACCTAATATAAATATTAGTGAACATCTCAGGTTCTGAGATTCCCCCTTATATAGGGACTACGGGTGGAAGATGAATAATTCAAATTCCAACATCTTGTTCCCTTAATTGTGCTGATTCTGGGAAGCAATCTCTTTACGCTCTCATCATACTGTAGAATGAGATATTGTTCATTTATAATTGGGTATTTATAGGCCTGTCAAGGATTGTAGTCCAATTAAGAGCTGATCAATTGCAGCTACTTGCGCCATATAAGGGATAACTGAGGTCACGTGACAGTCGGTCCTATCACGTGACCGCTGATCATATCACGTGATCTTGATTCGTAAATCCTCGGACACGCGATCCCATTCATACGACTACGTCACCAGAGCTCAAGCTACTTGATCAGACCTTACATGGAATAGTATAGTGTATCGCGTGTAATTGGATCCGCGTGTAAACCCTATGTTTAAGACAAAACTAGTTATAATAAAACAAATATTTAATAAAACAAATATTTATTTTTACGGCACAATCAAACAATATCAATAATAAATAAATCAGGGGAGGTTTGAAGAGGTTTCAAGTGCCGAAGTGTTGGCCTCTCGGACCAACAAGACTCTTTAATTATAGGTGGTTCTTTGCTAAAGTTCCGTTCATTTGGCTGAATTTGTCGAATCCATTTCTCTTGAGAACTCAAAGTTTTAGTATACCTTCAAGTCAAATTTATTTTACGGATTGAAACAGTTAATTGAATTAACCCGTAAAACTCTTAGAAGGCACAGCTACAGTGACTTTGGTCATTAGTCCAGTGAAACTTTCAAAATATAAAACACCGATAACGGGTCTACTCAAATGATCCAGGGTGTTGGTCATTAGTCCGGAAAAACTTTCAAAATATACGGACCTTCAAATGATATAGGGTACATAGTTCCGTGTTGATTAGTTTCAATTGAGCATTAACGAGGCCACGCATCGGCGATCTAGAAGCCGTGTTTCGATGCGTCCTAACGGTAACAACACTGCCCGACTATATCTGAATTTTAGTTGCGATAGCAACAAGTTACAATTCGACGTAGCTCTCTAATAAGCTACAAGTTCAATTCAAATCGGAAATATAAAAAGACTCTCAGTATATGAACCTTATCTCCGAAGGTATCTATTTAATGAATTAATGGAAGTATTATTATATTTGAAGGCTTGTTATACGACTCTATCAATTGTGTTCAAGTAACCATAAATTGAGACTGATTAAAAGCTCTAAAATAAAAAATATAAATAAACCACAACGGCAGTAGCCAAAACTGGTGCCCTCCTGGTTCGAATTGACGATCTCTTCATATCAAGCTTCAATTACTGAAACATCAAACTTCAATCATTGAAACATCAAGTTCAATAAAATGGCTGAACTGGACAATGTCTACTAGAGGTCAAAAGGAAACAAGAAGAGAAAAAGAAGAAACTTGTAAAGAATCAGAGAAGCAAGAAGAAGACAGATCTAAAAGTCAAAAGGAAACAAGAAGAGAAAAAGAAGAAACTTGTAAAGAATCAGAGAAGCAAGAAGAAGACAGATCTAGAGCTCAAAAGGAAACAAGAAGCGAAAATGAAGAAACTTGTAAAAAATCAGAGAGGCAAGAGGAAAGGACCAATCTGGAACCTGAATATGAAAACATCACACCCACAGGTAGCGATGTGGACAGACGAAATTGGTTAATAATTTTAAATGTGACTTCAAATGGCTGGAACACAGATCTAAGACTACGACATCTTGTTATTTCTCGGATGGAGTAGTAATAGCGAATCATGAGGATACATTTACGTCCTCTTTGTCAAATATGGAGGGTTGCGACTATAGTTCAGGGTACTGTCTAACGCATAACGGAAAACACGTCACTTGGAACGTGATTGAAAATGTAAAAAGGGCTTATTTGCCTGTGGGGCAGTTCAATGCAACACAAATCGAAAATAAGCTACTCGTACCCGAGTTGAGCATGTCATTTAATCTGCCGGAGAAAAATCCGGGTAACACTTGGATCGATAGGGATTTCCAAATAAAGGGAAGCCCAGCCCCGTATCAATTTAATCTTGAAAATGTAAATTCGAATAATGAAAATGCGATCGAAGCAATAAGAGAGGAACTCGTCAATAAATTTAATTATCTTTTGGAATTAATTAAAAGTCCGTTGGCGCAAACGGAGTATTTGTGTAACGTGTACAACGACATATATGGGACTGAGAGAATCCTAGCGAAAATCGATCCAACTGATTACGTACAATGGAAGTTAAATAGGACGGATGTAAAGGCTAAATTGGTCGGAAAATTGTTAATGATTTATCCTTGTCTGCAAATTCAACATTATCGATTCATAAACGACACCAACAGGTGTTATAACGGGTTTAAAATAGAATATAATCTGCCGGAAAATGATGAATATATTGAGGGCTATGTAGATCCTAAGTATAACATGATAATGCCTACCGCAATAGAGATAGATTGTCACAACTCTACGAACCAATATATGATGGTGAATAATACGATTCTCGCTCAAAGTTCTCATGGGTTACACGAAATGAGGGTAAACCTTTCAAAGGTAGAAAGTATAGACAGAGTGAAACTTACTGGAATACCCATGTCTCAAGATTTTCAAAATTGGATATATAATACGTCTGAATTGAAGCACCATGATATTAGCGATTTAATCCTGAAGGAAATGGAAAATGAAATTAACCATTTGACGATTGATAAAACGGAAAAACGAAATGTAAAATCCAATTGGCGGGAATTATTTGGAATATTCGGACAAAGTAAGTTTACGATTATATTTGCTATTATTAGCAACGTACAAAGCATCGCCGTATGGTATCTAATCTGGAGGTACATTATAGTAGAATTAATTATAAGTAAATGCGTCGATCGCACCAGAGGACGGATCCCAGTTAATGAGGGCCCAATTGACCGGGATGGTCAGGATGATACGGAAGTTTAATTCCTAGATTGACACTGTCCTTTATATGTACTGTAGTAAATGTGTATATTTAGATATTCTCCTTAGATATTCCATCAACATAAAGAATTAATTAGCTGGAATTTTAATTATGTTAGTAAATAAGGATAAGTAGTAACAAGGCTACTATGTATGATGAACATTATTTGAAGGAACTACTATAAATAAAGTATATATATATATGAAGTATGAGTACTAGGACAGTATAACTATATTATGATTGACAATGAAACAATGATAATGAATAACAAGTGCACAATATGATATGTAATAAGAAATAAATATGCGCAATATGAAAGTATTTGTATGCAATGATATTAAAGTAAATGCACTATGTATGACAAAGATTATGTTATGAAAGATAATAAAGCGCAATCATATAAAATGAAAGTGCACAAGATAGCTAGATTATGAATGAAGTGTATGCGCAAAGATATGATCAAGATGAGTAACAAGTAATGCACAATATGGCATGATATTTAAATAAGTGATAAGCAAGCGCTATGAAAATATAAGATTAAAATAATGTGAGATATGAAACGCCATGAAACAAACCATATTTTAAATGCAGGCCGGCCAAATGGAATGGGAACTAGATTAAATGACGTCACCCGGAAAATTTTATTTATTTATTTATTTATTTAGTTCTTAATTTATTTATTTATTTGCGTGCACGATTTGTGCCAAATCTGAGCTTAAATGTGCCAAAAGACTCTTTAGATCCAAGGCAAATTGAACGTGATTGTTGTCTGGAACCAAAATAATTACTTTAGCATGACCTGTTTTGTATACTTTTCTAATAAAACACAAAAACCAAATTAGGCACGTAGTAATTTAGAATCTTGTATCTTTGTAACTAAAGTTACAGTTATAAAAATATATTATAATATGACCGGTTAATGGTGGTTAATCTAAATACTTAAATAGCAAGGATGCGGAAGAAAGGATATTATCAACAAGTTATCTTCTTTATCAGTTGCTGCATAGCACTTTCAAAAGGAATGATTGAAGAAATCAATTACCACCAGGAAAAGACTGGTCTCATCTTACAAGGAATCGGAATCGTCGCACCGGAGATTACCCCTGTGCTGATATCAACATTTATAAAGATAAGAAATCCAATGAAAAATGTAAATGAATGCGAAAACATATGCAACATTGACGAAAATGTAATTTGGGGACTGCTAACCCACGTAAAATGTAATCATGTGCACAACAAAATCGGAGATCGCCAAAATGTAATAAAGGAAATCGAGAATTCGGTGGAT